TAGTCCAGAAAATATGGTATTTGTTTCATAAATAGTGTTATTTCCTGGGTTTTGTCTGTGAAGAACCCAGAGAGGGTTATTTGATTGTGCTTTCTGGAAAACAAATTTTTACATTTAGGCACTCCTGCAATCGTCACACTTTTTCTGTTACAAACTGACTCCCGCCCTCCAGCAGAGAAAGGAAAAGTTATGTGGCCCTCAGGAAATAGTTTGGGGACCCCCGACCTAAAGGATATGATCGCCATAAGGATTTTTAACTTTGCTTTTTTTGTTGTTGCTTCTGCATAACTTATTTTGAAAATGTTGACAACTGAGAAAAACTAACATAAGCGCTCAAGAACATTGAAGTCAAAGTTTTATTTGGTTCATAAACCCAAAATCAATTCTTTGTGTTTTGACATAAAATAAAACAAACACAACTGTCACCAATTTCTTTTCTTCTATGGTGTTTTTTTTTTTTGCTTCGTTTTCCCCCAGCTTTCACATTTCATTTCCCCCACACAGAAAAATCAAAACTCAAACCTCTTATCAAAATATATTTTATTCTGCACTGAAGTTTTACTGATCTGACTTAAATGATGACACAGATGGATGAGATGCAAGCTGCAAAAAAAAAAAAAAAAAAAAAAAAACGCGCTGATGGAGCCCTGGGGACTGATCCGGACCTGAACGCAGCTTCAGCAACGCCACGGCTCGTCCAAGATGGCCGCTTGAAAGTTTGGATTTCAGAACTTCAAATACAGTCGAGAAAAACAAACAAAAAATATATTTATACCACACACAAGACGTAAAACGGGAACATGAATCAATCTGTGGAGTCCAGAAGTCCAGAGTTCTGCTTGGGGAGGCGGAAACAAAACGTTCAGCAGCAGCTGTCAGAGGGAGGAGCTTCTGGAAGGTTTTTGGTCCAGTAAAGCCAATTCGCTCATTTTTTTTCTTTTTTAATTTGATCAGAAGAGGAAAGAGTTGATATTTTTAACATTTCGGATCGGAGACAAAAAAAAAAAAAAAAAAAAAGCAGCTAGGTTTTACCCCCAGGGTTTTTTTTGTAAATGTCCTGTGTTCAGTTTCATGTATAAAACATGTCAACAGTAAAAAAAAAAATTTAAAAAAGCTGCGACCAGCTCCGCCTCCAGATCTGCTCCTCTCTTCAAACATCTGCTGTTTTCAAATCTGTTGCTTGGTTGGAAAATTACATTCATATTTCATTGTAATCCTGTTTTTTTTTTTATTTCAGAGTTGAAGAGAAAGTTCTTTTCTCCGCCCATTTGGACAAATGTTTCCAACAGATCATGTTGTTATGGAAACTGATTCATTTAGTGGTTATTCACTGTAAGGAAAAGGTAAAAAGAACCATCATCTGCTCGCCTCATGTTTCTAAATGAGTGAAAAGGACAAAGTGTGACTTTAGAAGAGTAGAAAACTGAGCAGAGGTTTGGTGAGGAGCAGACTGGAGGTCAGAGGTCATGATGCAGGGAGCAGACCTGAACAGCTCAGGTTTCTGCTAACAGCTCATTAGTTCTTCCTTTGTGAAACCTGCATGAACACGGGCAAAACACAGAGGATGTGTGGTTGCTATGGAAACACTCCTTTTCAGCCATGCTCAGTCATCATTAAAGAGACGTGAACATCTCCAGCTGATTTGTGGGGACTGCATGTCTGGAACGGCATCTGGGGGATGAAATGTTTTCCTGCTGCAGCTGGTGGAACGGTACCAGTACTGTCCCAGTCTGTCCAGGAACCAGGGCTGATAAAAGCAAGCTGAAGGACAACAAGTCAAACTGGAGCTGACACAAAGATGATTGTAATCAGGTGAAGATGTGACAAAAAAAAAAAATCTCCATCCGTTTTCTTTAATAGTACGACAACTGAGTATTTTCCTTAGATCAGCCCAGATGTTCACACCATGTTTGAAGCTCCTTCATTCTGATTTGAACCGGCTTATTTAGGACCGTCAACACTGGTTGGATTTGGGTCTTTTTTTTTTTTTTTTTTTTTTGCTTTAATAATGTTGAAACCTGTAAAGAGTTTTGCACCAACTGGATTTCTACAGCCCTTCCTGTCCTGACCTCAGCTGCTGTGACTGAAACATCCTGTTGCTCGGAACAACAGCTCAGCTGAACAGAGGACAGAAAAGCCAAACAACTGGCCGTTGAAGTCAACCTGTTGGCAAAAACAAGACAAGAATTTCTGCAAAAATGAAGAGACCAGAGAAGCAAAATCCTGCTGATTCCAATTTTGGCAGACACCAATATCTTTGTCAGAATAGTTGCTAAAAGTCACTAAGTAGACAATGAAGAGGTGACCACTGCTAACCCATGCATGTGCAGACGTGGCCTGGTGGTCAGTCAGTCCTCTCTCACAGGAGGAGATGGTGTCTGATGTGAAAGTGGATAAGATTGGTTTTCCATGTGTGTATCGGCTGATCAATCAGCTTCCAAAGTTGAGCAAATCCAGCCTGATTTATTGGTGTTGCTCCAAGAAGAGACTTAGTAAATATTTCATGTTTCCTAACTGGGTCTTTTCTGCCAGCTAAGTGGTTATTCCTAAACCAGAGCCGGACTCCGGAGGTTCAAACATGGTGTATTCAAAGTTTTGGTTTGTTATTATTGGTCTCCAGGAGAAGTTCTGGCCCAGTCCAACCAGTTGATCGGTACCAGTTGAAACACAAACCACTGCTGTCAAGAACAGCACTAGTGCCAGTTTCACACTGGAACTGGTTCAGTGGAAAGCCTTTAATGGTTGGAGTGTTGGTACACTGTATTGACTAAATCCACAGAGACATCTGCTGTCAGGCTGGAAATATTCTAGCCACATTTCCCTCACAGCCACTGGAGGGCGCCGTACTGCTGAATGGAAACATGTTATGACTGGAAAAAAGGGAAACTATTCCATTTAATTTAAAAAGCTGTAAAAATGACATGGAAAACAGTAAAAAACACACAGAGCTTCTAGTACTCCCAGTTTAAAATCATAACAAACCAGCAGTCAGTCTGGACCTGGTTCTGGTTCTACTGCAGCTTCCAGGTCAGAACAGGGAGGGGTCTAAGGGGGGGACATCATGTGTTATTTTCCCGTGTGGATGAATCAGAGGAATCCAGAGTTTGATCTGCATGGTGAAGCTTAGTGAGCTGCTGCCACCTGCCTGGGGGGGGAGAGAGGGGACGTCTCCATGACCTTTGACCCTCCCACATGATAAAAAATATAGAACGAGAGGTCTGAAATAAAAAAAAAAAAAAAGAAACCCTAAGTGCCATCCTATCTGTGGTGGAGGAGCCGATATGTCCACAATAAGATCTGACTAGTAACATAGATCAACACGTTTTCATTGTTTTACATTTTGATGACGATGGGAATGTTTCCCAGATCAAAAAGCCAAACAGCTTCCATATTTTGGTAAATATTCCGATCTGTCACATCTCTGCTCCATTTCCACTGCATCCCGCTTCTGCTTCTCTCTGAGAGTCTGACCCAACAGAGGGGGGCGCCACTCCGTTCATCTGTCCCTTTATCCGCGTGTGTGGACCTGCTGTGTCGGTACTCGCTTCCTGTTCCTGTGTCCTGCTTCCTGTAAGTTGGTGGGCGGGGCCTAAGCGTGAGCAGTACGCAGGGCAGGCAGGGACAGTCATTTGGCTATGTACACATTCATGGTCGGTCCATGGCTTCCAGCGAACAGCAGCTTTATTTCCGCAGGTCTAATACACACACCTGGAAGAGAAGAGTCGGAAGTCAGCTGGGGCATCGCTACGGCAACGAGCAGCCAACTCATAGTCCTGTGTACTCACAGATCCGTCTGACGCGCTGGCTCCCACTTTGTCTCCCGCTGCATTCCAACACACCTCAAAGATCCCGCCCGTCCCTCTGTAGCTGTGCACCAGCGCCCCCGTCTGGAGGCAGAGGGTACTGTGTGAGACCACAGGAGGTCGATACACGGTCGCAGCATCTACAGATTCATCTGCCTACCTGTGTGTTCCAGATGTGAACACATTTGTCGAAGGAGCCGCTGGCCAGGTGGCGCCCGTCAGGGCTGAACGCCACGCTGTACACCGGTTCCTGGTGCTTGGTCAGCGTGTGGATGCAGATCCCCCGGTCCACATCCCACAGACGCACCGTGGAGTCAAACGATGCACTGCAGACAGCAGACAGACACAGACACAGACACACAGACACACACACACCCACACCCACACCCACACACAGCTGGTTCAAGTTACTGAAATAAAACATTTGGCTAGGCTAGCAGAACCTGTTTAAAACTAGCGAGACACACAAGTCACATGATCAACAGCTGGATGTTGCTATTGATGGCAGTATCATGATGGTTTGTTTTTGGGTTTTTTTGGTCAATGTGCAGACTCCACCAGAGCTCTCACAACATCACACACTTCATAAAAAGTCGTGTGTCATTCCAAAGTGCTGAATCCATAACTTTTCTGTAAAATCACCAACTACAATTTCCACAAAACGCTGTATGTGTAGTCGCTCCCAAGTAGGCGGGGCTTGTTGCTCTACTGCCTGAATAAAACGCAGACGTCTCCTGATTGGCTGATCGGTCAGATCTAACACTATGACTGAATTATGAATATACCTCATATAACTGTTTACATCCATTGCTGCCATGATTTTAATGACTTATTACATAAACAAACTTATTCACATATCATTTTAATTTAATTTCTAATACAATGTAAACATCTCGATTGTAAAATTGTGTTTTTTGACAGAGGAATATAGAGAAAGATTTGCACACATTCATAATGGAAACACAGCCAGTGATGCACAGTCTTCTCACATGTACACACACTCTCACCTCGCTAGCATGAGGTTAGCACTGGGATTGTTGGTTCCCGGTCCAGTAGGACTCCATTTAATGGTGTAGATTTCTTTGCTGTGGGCCTGCAGGTCGTGGATACATGAATCCTGCTTCATACTCCAGATCTGAAAACACACAACAACAAAAAACTGTCACATTCCAGGTTTCATAAGCTGTTAAGCTGAATTCCACTGAACATCCACAGTGCAAAAGAAACTAAACAAGATGTTTAGTTGTTTAGTTTAAACTGATATTACACCTGGCCAGTGGTAAGGACCGCTAGCTAAAAAGCAAGCTGCGCTAACCCTAAAGCAGCAATCAAACATTAGTTACACTGGCATTTGGAGTAGCCACTCCTTGCTACGTGGATATTCTACATTGGTATCCATATCAAGTATTACTTCATGTATAGCATATGTGTAAAACTCAAGGCCCCCAGGCCACATGTGGCCCGCCATATCATTTTATGTGGGCACCCTCAAGCGTTTTATAGGCCCACGATTGACTTAAAATAGGTTTTGAGCACAAATTGACAAAAAAACTACATCTCCCATAATGCATTCCGATTGTTACCAGCAAACATTAAGGCTTCTTGCCACTGGAGAGCAGCAGAGTCACCTCAAGCTGCTTACTGATTTTACCAGCGAATAAAACTGAGACATCGACAAGCTAACATCAAAACGTTCAAGAAAAGAAAAATCGATTTACAAGTAAGACTGTGAATGAAGATGTGTGAGTTGGTGTCAGGGCAGCAGGTCTCGCTAGACTTTTATCT